TGTATAAGAGACAGAGTCCACCCCCCTCCTCACCACCACGTCCCCATGCTGCAGCGCTGCCCCTGCTCCCCCTCGCAGCCCCCCTCTGCCCCCCAACCTGCCCACACTCGCCTCTGCTGCCTCGGGGTGTTGAGACCGGGCAGTGCCACTGTCCCCTGCCACCTCACCCCTCCAAGTCCTGGGCAGGGATGGAGGTGTTACCTGACACCAGGGTGTACCCGCGTTGCAGCAGGGCCTGCGCCATGGCTTTGGCGTTCTTCAGCACCTGCTGGCAGTACTGGCGGAAAGCCGGCGAGCTGGCCTGGGAGAGGAGGCCGCGTCAGCACAGGGCCCGGGCCGCCCACAGCCCCGAGCCTGCCCTGGCACAGACCTGTTTGAGGGCTACAGCCACAGCAGCAATGGCGTGGTTGTGGGGCCCCCCTTGCAGGGAGGGGAAGACGGCAAAGTTGATCCTGTCCTCCAGGTCGTAGAGCGTCTCCTTGCCCGTCTTCTTCTCCACGGAGCGCACGCCCTTGCGGTAGAAGATCAGTCCCGACCTGGCAGCGAGAGTGAGCTGGTACCGCTCCTCCCGCCCGCCTGCCACTCTCCCCACGCCGCGGGAGGTGCCGACACAGCGGCCGCCATCCCACAGGTCCCTCCCTGGCCCCTGGCAGAGCACAAAACACCACCTCGGCCTCGTGTGCCCCAGCCATGCCATGGGCGGACCCACACCCTCCCAGGGGAGGGGGTGGCAGGACGCAGCCTCACCTGGCACCACGCAGGGTCTTGTGCGTGGTGCTGGTGACCAGGTCGGCATGCTCGAAGGGCGAGGGGATGACCTTGGCTGCCACCAGCCCGCTGATGTGCGCCATGTCTGCCAGCAGGTACGCCTTCACCTCCTCGCACACCTGGGGACACGGGACTCGCGGGCTGCCCATCCCCATGGCCACAGGGGGTGCGACCGCCCTCGAACTGCCACAGGCGCCAGAGCTCCCATCACCTGTCACCTGGGACAGAGCCCGCCGCCATGTACCTTCTTCATGCGAGCGTAGTCAATGAGGCGGGCATACGCGCTGGTGCCGGCGATGATGAGACGAGGACGGAAGAGCCGCGCCGTCACCTCCAGCTGGTCATAGTCAATCAGTCCTGTGGCTGGCTGCGGGGGACGGACAGACAGACAGCTTGCACATGCACCACCCCTGCCCCGAGCTCAGAGCACAGCACGTCTGGCTGAAGCGCAGGCAGCTCCCGAGTGCCCCATGGCACCCGGGCGCGCTTGGGATGCGGGGAGGGTGGGGCAGGGGGCAGCAGAGCAGCTCGGGCGCTGCCAGGACACCCCTGGGATCGACAGCTCGGGCAGCAGATGCCCCCTTCCCCCAGGAACCTGCACCCCTCGGCTCACGTCAAGTTTGTAGGGCATCGACTCAAAGAAGATGGAAGTTGCTGAGATTCTCTTGACGTCCGACATGTACCCATGCGTGAGGCTGGAGGGGAAGACGGAGGTGGGGGATCAGGCTGGGCCCCCCAGCAGGTTCCAGGCAGCCCCACCCCACTACGTACTGTCCCCCGTCGGGCAGGTCGAGCCCCATCAGGCGGTCGTGGGGCTGCAGCAGGGCCGTGTAGGCGG